GGGCAGGCTTGCTTTCTAATTACTGAGATAGTCCAGCTGGTGTCTTGTCTTTCCATGTCTTTTACACCTCCCTTTCTTGTTCAATACTTTTTCCCTGTGCCATTCCACATTATTACAAATAACTTCATTTCTGGACATTTATGGTTTGATTTCTTTGTATATATGGATCACTTGGGTTGTTACCAACATCTTGTGAAAATTTCATGTCATTAGCACCTCTAGTAATATATTTACTGAGAAAAATGGTGACGTGTTCAATACTTATTTTACCTGCTGTATATGATGGAACCTGTTGTGGTTTCCTTGACTTTAATCTACATTAGTATCTTTTTTGAATCTGTAAAAATTAAATTATAGTAATTTTTATTGTTTTCATAGACATTTAAGAGTCTGGACTGTGTTTTAACCATGCTAAGCCACTGATCATTGTAAAATATTTGTATTTAGATCATTTTTTTATTCCAGTGAAGGCTGTTTACATACACAGAATGCAAAATAGGAAAGTTTCCCTTGTGGGTTTTATTTCCTTTGGAACCATTCATAATGTTTGGTGTTCATCTGCACGAAAGACAATAAAAACTTAATTTTAAATAAACAAGAAGCAATTTGTACCGTGTATAGAGTGCTGGATAAAGCTGTAACATGTTGTAAGCTGGTCGGACTCTGACAAGAAAACAAAGAGCCGATTAAAAGAACATGCAGCCTCAGTTGAAAGGAACGTGTGGGTTATAAATGTTTCAGTTTACTCACCGTCACAGGAACTGCTGTCGTTCTGCAGAAATGCACCATGGAGATGATCAGAGAGATAAAAAAAGATTGAATGATTGACGGGGAAACGTTTTTAAAGTTCAGCTTATCAGCAAAGACAACAAAATTGAGTCTAGAGTAATTTTATTTATTGATGTATTTTTTTTTACCTTAGTTCGTGACAAACGGTGTCCKTTGTTTTGGTACAGTGTGTCTTTGTGTCGTTCGGACAAACAGAGCAGGGATGGCATTCATAAGTCGACCCGTCATTGAAGTGGTTGGGCTTGCAGGGCGCCTCAGAACCATGATGATTACCATCGTCATCCCGACCACAGTTACTGTTAATTTCATATCCTGTTTACATATAATATAATATAATATAATATAATATAACATAACATAATATAATGTAATATTACCTTCACGAGGCAGTTCACAGGAATCACACCTGCTATGATCTTCATTCCAGTATGTAGTTCGATTTTTGCACAGTTTTGAAAACATCTTCATCTTCACAGCACAACACAAACCCTCTGACTGATTCACACACACTCACACACCTCCTCCTCTCTCCTCTCGCACGATGGTAGGCTCCGCCCACCCACTTTTTTTTTAACTTGGAGTACTCAAAGCAGCTCTTAAAATGCCTTTTTTTTTTTTAGTTAAAAAACAATAGTATAATAAATAATAGTAAAAAGTTGAAATTTCGGGAGGTTGACTATCTGTTCATAGATTTGAAGGGTTGGAAGTCGTCACTAAAACTTTAAACACAACAAAATATGAGAAGTTTACTGAAGTCGCAAATATAAAAACAGCGACTTTTGACTAGAACCAAGACGGTTTGTTTTCATATTTTTTTTTTAAAGAAAAGTAGAACATACATGCACTGGAGCATGAAATATGGTAAGTTACTATGTGTTGCTTTAATTAAGATAGATAGATAGATAGATAGATAGATAGATAGATAGATAGATAGATAGATAGATAGATAGATAGATAGATAGATAGATA